TGCATTGTCACAGAAATTAAGAACCCAACACATTAGGAGAAAAGACTAGTTAAATGTACCAAATACTGCTGAAACATATCCAGGAGCCCGATAACTAGCAGTGATCTTTGCCTTCATAGATTTGCAGATATGGCAATCTTGATAAGGGCAAGACTGAAAAGAATATTTCAGATAAAAATGCAAAATAAAGAGAGTGAAAATTTGAAGTGTTGAGACAGAAACTTAACTGGAACATAATGAAAGCGAATGAAGGGTGAGAAAAGGGAAAAACGAGTTCAACAGTTCTTATGAGACACTTTAGTTGTGAATGGAAATGTAGAAGTCCAAAAGAAAACTCAGAAGGTTTTGAGGAAGTGAGTGGCCCAAACTATTTAAGCTGGTAAGTAAGACTGAATAAAAAGGCAGAACCTGCAAATACTTCAGATTTTTCACAAGGTGGAAAGGGATGTAATCCTTAACACAGGTGGAAGACTGGCCTTTGTCAGAGAGACACTACCCTTCATTAAAACAGGAAGGAAAAAAAACGCAAAAGGATAGAAAATACAAGTAAAATTGTAGATTCAGTGGCAAGACACAGTTTCTACCTTATGCTTTCTCTTTTCTCTGAGAGGTAGAAGGCAAGGCAGTTACTAAGAGCAAAGTGACCAGTAGGAAAGCAGGAGGTTTGAGGAGAAACAACTATTTCAAAGTGGTAGATGAGCTCACTAGAAAGAGAGTGCTGGGTAGCGTGGATGAGCTCACTAGAAAGAGAGTGCTGGGTAGCGTGGGCGGACTGAAGGTTTGTGTCTATGTACAAAGTGGCACTCACCTACCCTGTGTGGGATTTCCTACAGGAAAGGCTCAAGAAAGGTTTAAGTGGCTGGGTTTATTCAGTGATAGCACCACCATATGTGCTTGTTTAAAGGTTGAAGGGATGAGAAATATAATACTAGTTAATTTTTACTGATCACATTATAGTCCCGGGCCTTGTTAGTGCTTTATATGAATGGCCCCTTTAAGCTCATGGCCATCCCTACCGAGTTGGTACTACATTATTTTCATCTTTATAAATGAAGCTGAGGAATGAACTTGACAATCAATGTTCACATAACAGCTAGCATTCAAGGTTTGAGATTTCATGAGAAAAAAATGAACTGAAATAAAACAAATTTAAAATATAACCTGATATAAGATTGAGTGCTGTATAATTGTAACCTATATATAAAGATATAATATGAAAATTGACCGTCATACCCTCGCACAAATGGCTACCCCCATATGGTCACAAGATGGGTGCCACAAGATGGCCAGCAGGGGAGGGCAGTTGGGAGCGACCAGGCCTGCAGGGGAGGGCAGTTAGAAGTGACCAGGCCAGAAGAGGAGGGAAGTTGTGTGCAACCTGGCCTGCAGGGAAGGGCAGATGGGGGCAAATGGGCCTGCAGGAAAGGGCAGTTGTGGGGGCACCAGGCCTGCTGGAGGGAGAGGGAGACAATTGGGCTGGCAGGGGAGCAGTTAGGTATTGATCATGCTGGCAGGGAGCATTTAGGGGGTGATCAGATTGGCAGGCAGGAACAGTTATGGGCAATCAGGCAGGCAGGCAGCCGAGCAGATGGGAACCAGCAGACCCAGATTGTGAGAGCTAAGTCCAACTGCTGGTTTAGGCCCAATCCCACAGGATGTCGGACATCCCCTGAGGAGTCCCAGATTGGAGAGGGTGCAGACTGGGCTGAGGACACGCCCCCACACCAGTGCACAAATTTTGTGCACTGGCCCTCTAGTTTTAAAAATACTTCTGTATTAGAACAATGGACCATGAAATTACAAGTGGTTTTCTTAGTGTTAGTGTTAGACAGTGTTAGAATTTAAAGACTCAACAAATCAAGAATGTTAAGAGAACAGCAATAAACTTATTTCACATTTATATCCCAGACATGATATACTCTTATGCTATATCACTGCCTCAAAATGTCAACACAACATGAATCTATATCCTGAAAAATGTGAAAATAAGGCTCAGAAAGACTAAACAATGTATTACACCTTTTATCAAACCCCTGAAAAATAAAGTATCCTATCACTGAACGCCTTGCAAAACCAGAAGTAACAGGCCTAACTGAATTCATCAGCAGAACAAAAAATTATATAGCTGTTTGCTCTCATTGAAAATTATTTCCAAACATTACTTTATTATATCAAGTGAAAGAAACTAGGTAAGCTTTCACCATTGCATTACAACTAAAGAAAACAAAATAAAAATTTGAAAAGCAAAGAATAAAAGCTTAGAAGAAAATTACTCTTTCCAATTTCCAAACATGAACACTAACGCAACAAGACATTATTAGACTAGATAATTTTGCAATGACAGAATAATTAAGCACTTGATAAATTTTGTTTCACTCTATTATCATACAAAAATTAAAAAAAAAAATGATGGTTTAATCTCCTTGAAAGTAATTAAACACCTTCGCTTATCAATGTTTTCCAAACTGTCATGCTGAAAAGGTATTTTTCTTGACTGACAGAAACAAAAAAAAGTAATAGGTGAAAAATAGAATATATATTTGAAGAACATAAATACTAAAAGCATTTACTATTAAGAAAGATAGATGGCAGCTATTAGAGTATAGTTATCACAAAAGTATTTCCATTAATGACATCCCCTATCAGGAAAGATATGAAGACATTATAAATTTGTAACATAATATTCACCTTTCATTTATCATGTTGTCATTCAACCACCTTAAGTCAAAAGAGATGGTAATAAAGCTTTTCGGTATTGTAAAGCAAAAATGGTAGATATTCAGAAAAAATTACATCTTTCCCTTCCAGTCTTTCATTCTAATCATAAAGTATATAAAACACTATATAAACTAACATGACCCTTGCTAGGTCAATATTATTATTTTTTTAAAAGCACCTTCCACACTGACATATACTACTCAACTACATGTAACAAAGGAAACATCATTTTGAAATGCCTAACTTCTTATAGGGAAAAACAATTTAAAAAAAACTACTTGGAGAATCCAAGATGGCTGCACAGGTAAACACCTAGCCGCAGCCACACACAATAATTTCAATAAAATACAACTAAAATATAAAATGGACATTACCCAGAACTACAGGAAAGTCGACTGACTGGAAATTCTACAATGAGAAGCAAGGAGAAAAGCAGAAGGAAGAGCGGAGGAGCTGTAAAAGCCTGAGGTACAGAGACACGCAGCGCATGGAGAGGCAGTCTTGGAGGCGCGCACATTGTGTGCAGAGGACAGACTGTTGACTCTGTTACCAGATTGCCCTGGTGGGAAGGAGACAAAGGCTCCGGACTGTGCTAGGCCCCAGTTCTGACTCCTCTGAACCCCAGTTCTAAGCCAGACCCCGGGGATCCAGGCTCAAACAGAGGGAGCTGGGCTGTAAGGCGGAACCCCGGGGGAGCGGCGAAAGGAGGTCCCAGAGGCGCACACATTGCGCGCAGAGAAGGGACGGTTGGCTGTGCCGCGGGATTGCCCTGGCGGGAAGGAGACAAGGGCTCCAGACTGCTCTGAACGCCACCTCCAACCCCACTTCCAACTGAACCCCAGTTCCAGGCTCATTGGGGGAGAGCCCACACTGTTTGGTAGCAGGCGAAAATCGAGGACACCTTTCTCTCAGAGGTGCTTGCAGCAAGTACTGAAGGATCCTGGGGATTACTGAGACTCAGGAACCGCACAGGGCGTGGCTGACGAAGCCAAACCTGTAGGCTCCACCCTGAAACTCCGCCCCATCAGGGAAGTGGCGAAAATGCCAAGACAACGAAATAGATCACTAAAGAAAAAAAAGGAGGACAAAAAGTGACTGGATATAGAGTTCAAAACCACACTTATAAGGTTGTTCAAGAATTTCCTAGAAAAGGCCGATAAAATAAACGAGACCAATGAGGATATGAAAAGGGATCAACTAGAAATAATAAGGGATCAATAAGAAATAATAAGGGATCAACAAGAAACAAAGAATACATTGACTGAAATAAAAAGTATTATACAGAGTCCTAAAAACAGAATGGAAGACCACAAGAATCAGGTCAAAGATTTGGAACATAAAGAGCCAGAAGACACTCCTCCGCAGAAGCAAGAAGGCAAGAGAATCCAGAAAACTGAAGATAATGTAAGAAACCTCTGGGACAACTTCAAGCGAACTAACATCAGAATTATGGGGGTCCCAGAAGATGAGAGAGAGCAAGATACCGAAAACATACTGAAAGAAATAGTGACAGAAAACTTCCCCCACCTGGTGAAAGAATTAGACTTACAAGCCCAGGAAGCGCACAGAACTCCAAACAAAAGGAATCCAAATAGGACCACACCAAAACAAATCATAATTAAAATTCCAAAAGCAAAAGACAAAGAGAAAATATTAAAAAGCAGCAAGAGCAAAGCAGATAGTTACCTATAAAGGAGCACCTATATGATTGTCAGCTGATTTCTCAACAGAAACCATGCAGGCCAGACGGATATGGCAAGAAATATTCAAGGTGATGAATAGTAAGAACCTACAGCCAAAAATAATCTATCTAGCAAAGCTATCACTCAGAATCGAAGGCCAGATAAAGAGCTTCACTAATAAAAAAAAAAGTTAAAGGAGTTCATCACCACCAAACCAGAATTATATGAATTGCTGAAGGGGGTTCTTTCAGAAGAGAAAGTAAATAAAGATAAAAACTATGAACAACAAATACATAACTGTCAACAAGTGAATCTAAAAACCAAGGAAATTAAAAAAAAATCTGATGAACAATATTAACTGTTGAATATAATAGAATCAGAGGTATGGAAAGGGAAGTGAACTGATGATTCTTGGGGAAAAGGGGAGAGGGGGATGTGGGAAGAGACTGAACATAAACTGTGCACCTATGGATGAGGACAATGGGGGGTGGGGGGCAGAGGGTGGGGTGGGAACCTGGTGGAGGAGAGCAATGGAGGCGAGGAAAAAAGAGGAACATTTGTAATAATATGAACAATAAAGATTAAAAAAACCAAACTCACCATATACATTAGTATGTCTCTAATCATCACCATAGCTGTTTGATGATCATTCCAAGCTTGATTTAGCGTTTGAAGAAAGTTGTTATTCAATGAATTAAGTACATCCTCTCGCACCTATTAACAAAAGAGTTCATTACAGTTTGTTTATACACACACATATGTGCACACACTCATATATAACATGAACTTATATCTGTTCAATAAAATAATAAAGTGAACTCTTCAATTTTAAATTAAAAAATATGTTATAGACCAGTAGAAACATTTTAAGCTATGGTATGTACAGATGACTAATAAATGTGTTTTGTATAGTCCAGGTCTTTTCTCTTGACCTTCAGAATCAAAAAACAATCTCCTGGGCTCTTTTTAACATCACAGAAAAAAAAAAAAAATCCTAAATACTTATATGGAACTAAAAGGCTCTATCTATAGAACTGGTCCTGAGGCTATTGCTCCAACTCTACCTTCCCTCCCCCATTTTTTGAAGAAATAGTGAGACCACTGATTCCTGAGTCAAATTACCTGGGCTGGAATCCCAGCTCCCTGACTAGCTGTATGACTTTGGATACATTATTTATCTCTATGCTTCAATTTCCTTATATGTGAAATAGCGTCCATTTTGTAGGATTATTGAAAAGATTAAATTAACACTTGTAATATACTTAGAACAGTGTCTGGCACTCATCCAACACTCTAGTTACAACGGAGCTGCATACAACAAATGTACTCTGCCATTTCTTTTGCCTTGATTCATAGCTCACTTCCTCACTTTTTTTCTACACAGTCCTACCTCCTGTTTTTCCCTGACCACTCTATTTCAAACAACAACCCCTACAGTTTATGATTCCTCACAGCACTCATCATTATGTACTATATTAGTAGTTTCTTGTTTATCACGCCAAAATATAAGCTCCATAGCGCCAGGGTTTCTGTCTTTTCCATGTTTATCTCCCAAACCTACAATAGTGCCTGGCATATGTAAGATATTTTATTTTATCCCCACCCTCCAATACCATGATCCACTTCCAAAATGGTAAGCTCTTTTAGGGAATCTGCCTTTGCACATAAAGTTCCCCGAGTCTGAAATGCTTTCCTTATACTATGCAATCCTTATACTATGCAGATTTCAAGACTTCCTTCACATAATCCACAAGCATAATACTGCTATCTTCTACAATAAGAGGTTACTGACCACTACTACTTACTGTTAGTTCAATGGAAAAAGTATTTAACTAGGAAACAGAATCTAGATTCTGGTTCTAGCTTTATCATGAAGAAGTTGCTTGTTTTCTAGGTTTCTGTAACTCTTTTGTTGGACTATACTGCCAAACTCTCCAGTTATTCAAATCCAAATAATCCTCCATAGTCTAGTTCAACTGTCAATATTCCAACCTAACAAACAGCTCTATCTCCAAATATCCTTTACTATAAACAATCTACAGCAGTAAACAACTTTTCAGGTTGGGGAAAATTGAAGTCATGGTGTTCTTTGAAAAACAAATTAATATATGTATTAAAATATATAGATATCTATGAACCTAAATTCTAAACAAAAGTAAAATAAAAATGTCATCGAGTATTATAACTAGGATAAACAAGTGATTGGAGTAACCAAACACTGAAAGAAAATTACACATAACACACTAATCTCAACACGTGGGGAATAAGTTCAAATTGGGGAAAAAAACTGTATCTAATTTATTTTTTCTTATATATTAGAGGAAAAGAGGTCTTCAATAGATATTAGTGTTGAGACTATGTCTATTCTACTAAACATGTAGTATAAAAGCCACTAGCTTATACTACATAATTTAGAATTTTATTATATATTTAATCTTTTGTTCACAACTGTATTTTGTCTTGAACACAAGATGTATTTTGAAGCTTGTGGACTTCAAAATATATCACTCAAAAATTATTCCATAAACATATTGACTATATCAAAAGTGATAATAAATATCCATGTCGGTTAGTTGAAAGCACTGTGTTTAACAAACACTATTATGAAAAGTAGATAAGTCATTTGTTTCAACTTATTAAGTCTACCAATTGTCAGATACAAATTCCCAAGATAACTAACACTTCAAAAAAAACCCATCAACACAGCAAGTTGAAAATGTAGCTATATACAAATTCTTCACCACACTTCAAATTCTTTCACTGTACTACTAAATTTTGAGTGTCAATTAAATTAAAATCATGAAAATTCTAGAGAAATTGCACTATGTAACAAAAATAAAATGGTATATTCCAAACACTAAGAATATTTAATAATTAATTATTCTTAAGGACTTACATAAACTCTGTGTAATCCTTAGTTATAAAAATCAAATTATGTGTTACCTACATTAAAGTCACCCTGATTACATTAATGAAATATACCAAGCATATAAAAATGTGCTTGGTATATTTTATTAATCTAAAAATGTGTTTAGATGAATGAAAAAATGACCAATTAAATAGTTATAAAATAAACCATGTTTTTCATAATTACTAATACTCTTTAAAATACTCTGTCAACAAGCATTTATATAATATTTATATTTATACCTGGCTTTCAAAAATATGAATGTGATAAACTAGCACAATGTGTCATAAATAAAATTTTATTTGCATCACACTTCACAAATTATCCTCACAAATCAATAAGTAAATATTACTTAGCAAAAGAAAACAACAAAAACCCAAAACAAAACAAAAAAAACTATTGAGCTAATTTTGTTAATTTTTGAATGACTGCATATACACACATACCTACAACATAAAGTAAATGTCTTACATACACTTGCTGTAATGGTCTCTTGATTACTCAAATCACTCTATAACCAAAAAATTATTTCTTTAATAATACCCCCCAAAATATCTTTCTTTGATACATCAAAAGTGAATGGATATTTTTTCAAATATATATCATAAAGTGGTAGGAATCAGATGAAAATACCACCTTTATGAAAATTAAAACAGGCTTTTAAACAAAAAGCTGGCATATAAATGAAAAATATACACTAAATGGAAAAAGCCTCATTTTACAAATTATTAATGTAACAATACAGACATTTTGAAGAAGAGAAAGTGGGGGCTGTATGTGTGTGTGTGTGTGTGTTAATACTGTTAGTCTCACACTGAACACAACCATTAATTTCTGCACCAGAAAAGGCAAATGGGAAGGAACCCTGCTATAAGAGGTTCCTAGGATCAAAAGGGCCTGCTGACAAGTATGACCGGTATTATTATGTAAGAAGACTTCTAGGAAGTTTACTCAGTTGAAGAGTTGGAATTTGAAAGGTGAGACAAGCAAGAACAAGTAACAAAGCCATGGAAGGTGATAAAAGTATGGGGTCAGCTGTGACAGGATAAAATAAGCCATTGAAAACTGGCTGTACATGATACTTAGCTTTGAAAAGGATAAAGCAATGCACACATAATAGTTCAAAACAGATCACAAACCTGGTGATTAATTAGAATCATTTAAATAGCAATAGATTTTGATAAAGAGATAGAGAAGACAAAACACAGACTGGGAAAAAATATTTGCAAAAAACATATCTGATAAAGGACTGTTCAACCTTGTGTTCTTAGCCTCTTGTTACAACTGGCTTCATTTTATGTTATTTCACTTAAAGTCACAGAACCTATAGACAATGTTAAGTGAAGACTTCTTATATACAAAGAATTCATAAAACTCAACAACAGAAAACAAATGACACAATTAAGAAAAAACTGGCAAAAGACCTGACACTTCACCAAAAAATACAGATGGCAAATAAGCATATGAAAAGATTTTTGATATCTGATTAAGGAAATGCAAATAAAAACAATATTGGGACATCAATACATATAAATTAGGATGGCCAAAATCCCAAACACTGACAACATCAAATGCTGGTGAGGATGTACATTAACAGGCATTCTCATTCAATGCTGGGGGGAATGCAAAATGGCACCAGCCACTTTGGATGGCAGTTTGGCAGATTCTTATAAAACTAGACATATTTTTACTATAATGATCCACAAGTATGCTCCTTGGTATAAATACCAAAGGAGTTGACAACTTATATCCACACAAAACCCCACACACAGATGTTTATGGCAACTTTATTCGTAACTGCCAAAACTTGGACAAGATATATTTCGGTAGATGAATAGATACATCCAGATAGAATATTATTTAGCACTAAAAAGAAATAAGCTATCAAGCAATGAAAAGACATGAAAGAACATTAAGTGCATATTACCAAGTGAAAAAAGACAATCTAAAAAGCCTACATACCATGTGATTCCAACTACTATACCATTATGGAAAAGGTAAAACTAAGGAGACTGTAAAACCACCTGTTACCAGGGGTTAAGGTGAAGGGAAAGATAAAAAGGCAGTGAGGCTATTCTGTTTCGTACTATTACAGAGAATACATTTCATTATTCATTTGTTAAAATCCAGACAATGTATACCAAGAGTAATCCCCAATCTACATTAATGAAAGAGAAAGATGCAAATTGACTGTACCTCCATGATGTCCACCAACCAATCAAGATTATGCAAATTAACCCAACAATGATGATGGGCTAATTTGCATATGCAGGCACCAAGAGGTTGGGGGCAGGGTGGCGCCAAGAGCCCTGAGTCCCAGGAATGGGTGCCAAGCCTGCAGGCTCCTGGGACCATCGTCAGTCCCAGGAGGTGAGGGCGGCCATGCAACTTGACAGCAAACAGGAGGGCCTGCTTGGCTGTAGCTGCGTGACCCAGGTGCGGGCAAGTGGCCTGCTTGACTGTTGCTGCGGTGACCCACAAGCAGGCAAGCGTGGCCTGCAGTCAGCACCCACCAGGCTACTTGCCCATTGCCATGGTATAAAGTAGGCAGGCCCCCGCAGAAAGCAGAGAGCCATGGGGAGTGGGCCTAGGGATCAGTAGGACATTCCCTGAGGGCTCCGGGATTGGAGAGGGTACAGGCTGAGAGAATCCCCCCAACTTGCGTGCATAAATTTCATGCACCGGGCATCTAGTGTAAACTATAAACTGGATGACAATGATACATCAATGCAGGTTCACCCACTGTAACAAATGTACTACTCCAGGGTGAGATGCAAAAAGTAGGAGGGACTATATGCGTGTGTGA